GCTGACTAGTGTCCAATCAAAGTATCCACTACAGTCGTACAGGTCAGTCGCGAGCCCGAACAGCTCAGTGATAACGTCTCTGACGCGTCGGTGGAGGGACTCTCTGACCATGCACATGGTCCGGGAATCCATCCTCGGTCGATGCACTCCTTTACCCCTGCAAGCCACAAATAAGGCTGGTAAAGAGGAAAGGTTGGGTATGAGGCCAGCAACCCTATCCAGTAAAAAACACTGCTACAGAAACTCCAAGTCTATAGCTCGAAGCCCTGACTGCAGCACTGGGTGACGCGGGTTAGAATCTCAGAAGTGGCATGAAGCCTTTCAAGGTTGCAGGTACACCTTGCTGACGAGTGCCAATTAGCGCGAAACCTAGGTCCAAGTTTTCCTACCGATTGCCTCCAACCATATAAGATCGTTGTATCTCTTAATATTTGGGCCGCGTTCTATGTGTTTGGAACGAACTGTTCTTTGGAACTGTTTATTGAGGAGATTTGTTCCCAAGAAGCTCGTTATTGTCCCGGAAAGCCTATACAGAAACAACTCAGGTAGAGTAAGAGCATACCACCAGCTATCACAGCTGTTCACAACCAACGATGACGTTAGACAAGGTCGCCCAATCTTACTGTTTCTCCTTAACTTAAACATTGAAGGCATTCTGGAGAGATCTATGATCTATGCATAGTGGTGGTATAGACCAGCTGCCCATAGGCAAGCCTTTGGATTTCAAGTATGGAGACGACATTGTCGTACTGCACTATAGTACGCAGACTGCCTAAATCTCTTATAGTCAGTTGGCAATCAGTATTTGTAAGTGTGAAGTGTGCTTTGTTCCGTCTACTTCCAAAGTATTGTTGTGAACCTCGCGAGAGCCTGTACCTGCACTCACCTTCTCACGTGTTCTTGTAGGTGTGTGATTGCCAGCCGAAGATGTGCAATCGTCAAATTGCACCACCTCTAGCGTCGTCACCACTTTAATGTAGCTGTCAAACGTCGGATGTATGATTTTTTTTTTATTTTTGATTTACAGCTTGATTCCACACTGTATTTTTGGTACAAGTATGGAATTTTCAGCATGGATATCGGTAGCCCAAATTTTGCAGGCCGACCATAGATATCAGGTGTGCGCCGGCGTGGGCTCGAACCCTGTATATTGCTTCGGCGTACGGATTCTTATTCTACACCTGTGAAGCCTGTCGAAAGGACAGGTAGAGAATTTGACAGCTACATCATTCCAGTTATGTCCGGACCCTCAAGCCAAGAGCAGCATTTATTAGAACATAACCAACGGAGAGCAGTTCCGGCTGTCTCTATTGAATCTGTAATGACTCTGAATAATTTTAGGGATCTCAATCCGCCCCGATTTGACTAGAGATATTTCGAATATAGTGGTTTGATTGGTAAGGTGCCTACCTACTATGGTAATAACGTGTAACTCAGAATCAGGATTGTATTCTGGAGGAGGAGACTGTGTAATGTCTGCCACATCTCAAGATGGCAGCAGTCGCGAAAATTACTCACCCATGGCACATGGATGCGCTGGTGAAAAACAAGAATACGGTACTCAGTTGAAGCTTCGTGATTCAAATGAGTACAATTTAAATCATTTGATAAGAACCAATTGGATGTTAAATCTAGACCCAGCAGCTGTGTTAGTTCTAACTCCAGAAGCGTAGATTAAAACTGCTGCAGTTAAAACGTTCATAGTTTGACTTGGATCATGCGGTCTCATGCAGTCACTTTTTCACGGAGTCTGTTAACCATTTGTCAAGGGTGGATGATGTCCTTACTTTAAACAAATCTGAGTTTTCGAGGGAGGCTTTTGTGCCTAGAAAGTCTTTCATGATATAATGAAACCGGATTTCAGTTCCATTTTGTTGGTTTTCGGATCCGAAGTAGTGATTAGGAGGGATGAACGGGGTGTCAGATGTGAAATTCCGGGGTCATCGCCAGACAAATTATAGAGAAAGCACTTGTCAAGAATATTTTCAATGAGCGAGAGTGGGAGCCAGAGTTTCGAAGACAATGAGATACCGTCCTAGTTCTGACCATAGACATTTTCGACTGACGAACCACGATGGTTCTTCGGTCCCCGTAAAACCCTAAAATCTTTGGTCTGCGAGAAAATGTTGGTTGCAGAGCTAAAGCTTAGAGGAATTGATGGAAGGACACTACACCACCAAATACAGGAAGAGCCGTCAGACCCGGACATTGTTGGGATCAACAGGCTGAAAACTGTTCTTGATTTAGTGGATGGTGGCGTATGGTCATTATTAGATGATGTGGTCATTTGTCTGGTTAGGTACAACAACGAACCAGACTTTAACCATAGTAAGTAGCATATTGGTGATCTGCCTTTTCAGGTCTCAGCTTCTACTGATTCTTTATGTAATAGTGTGGTAGTGATTCAGCAGGTACAGTGGCAGTTTGGTATCACACGAAATTCGGCAGTAACGAGTCTTTGATGCTCTTAGATACCCGGGGCCCCACCTAAACCACAATGAAGGTACGTAAAAGTCTAGGAACTAGGCACGAAAGGGTTGGGCACTGTCTCGTCATGGCTGTGGTTGCGATAGGGGTTTACACCAATTCCCCATGAACGAGGAGTCCCTAGTAAATGCAAGTCATGAGCGTGAGCTGATTATGTCCATACTCTCTGTGCACACTACTCGTCACTACTACTGACTGAACGATTTAGTGTTGTCGTTGCAATAGCTTTGCCACCCAAATGATGCAGAGAAGACAACCAAACTTGACTATTTAGAGGAAGTAAACGTCGTAGCGACGCTTCCACAGATGAACCTGCATAAGTATCATTACAAGCAATATCTCCTGCCCCTCAGCCCAGATCTTGTTGGTTTTCATAGAGTGAAAGTATTACAAAACGTACTGGGCATGGCGATTTACGGTCTTCTTCATCAAGCAGTGTTAGCTGAAGTGGAGCTGTCTGAAAACATTCATAGCCCATTGCTTCAATACTTCATACCAATAGATGTAGTCACTCACTGTCGATCCGATTCTTTACCTCAGGTTAGCTGGTGGAGATACTGAAAACCAGTGTTTCGACATTCTTGGTTAGAAAAAGCGAAATATATACACTGGTGAAGGCATATCAACTTCTCGTTATCATCAAAATCCTGAACATTTGTAAAAGTCCATTTGCATATAACATAATTTGACTAGCCAAAACAACCGACTGCAAATAGTCTTTTTTCTTTACATGCCTAGTGAATATAAGGCTTCTTCATTGGGTAAAATTAAGTATGGTTCATACAGGAGAATAAAATAAAGGTGAAATTTTATGACAGTCAACAAGTAACCTAAGAACGAATACATGAAAAAATGAATGAAACTTATTAAGATGATTAGACGCATACTTTATTTCACATTAGTTAAGTTTACTTGACATAAGACACAGTGATACGGTATTAGTAACTAGATGACGTTTCGAGTGTAATTTATTGCTTATAATCCGGCTAGTGCATTTATACAAATACCTAAATTGATTTGTATGATGTTTTTTATGTAATTCTCAATATATCTGGGATAGGCTTTGCATCATTTTGATTGCATCTGTGTGGTGTTGACTTAATAATGAACAAAGATTTGGTAAATAACTTCTCCCTGCACCTAACAGTATCATTTATGTAATATGAAATTATGTTTTACTTTAGTGCCCAAATTCTAATCTTACATTGAGTATTCTCTTTGTGCGTTGTGATAACTATGGTTTGTTTCTATTTCCCGTTACTTTTGGGCAGAACAAAAGCTTGCACTCGTTATTTAAAAGCAATAACCATGCAGTTTTATTTTTTCATAATATGCACCTCTCATTCTTTTTGACTATAAAGTAGGAGGTCTGTATTAAACTTAAACAACTAGGGTTATTAAATTTATGCGTCAGGAACAGTAGTTGCATGTAATGTATAGCTTTAAAAATAAAATAATCAAAAACCACTAACATCTACATATCTCTTCCACTTTCTGTGATCAAAGTAAATCAGAGTGAGCTATAGGCCACTACACTGACCATTCCATGGTCAACCCTTCATCACACTTACTCTAATAGTGTTATCTTACTTTTTGAAAAGACGAACTGTACACCACACACACACACACACACAGATATATGCTCGTTTTTAGACTTTGTATTTTCAGTAGCTTGAACATTTCCATTATTTATTCAGAACAAATAGTGATTGCCTATGCAGAAATAACAGGCATAATGATAGTGGGTCTTTACAAGAGCATTACAGATTTATTGATGATATTTAATCTATTCACACTATTTCTAATCTCCTATTCATTTTGTATGAATGATATCTGAATGGCAGACATAAATTTCTTCTATATGACAATCATTCCTGACTGGTAAGTACCAATAAGCAAATACTGAAGTCTAAAGCTTCCTAACTTACAAAGCGTACTGTAGTATCACGTAACTAACCAATTATGCTGTCTGAATAATCTGCATTGATTTTTAATCAGATAGTTGTAACCAACCGATTACTGATATATATATATATATACTGAGCGACGAAAGTAGATACAATATTGTAAACGTTTAAGGAAACGCCAGTGAATTCAAAATGAAGGTATACTAAACAGTAAGTACTGTCTGGATTCAAATGAGTGAAGCCAATTTTTTTCAATTCCCAGAGAGTCAAACAATAAGCGTGTGTGTGTATACAGTGACAGTGAAACAGACAAAAACACCATGCACAGACAGTTAAAGCTGTACAATATTCAGTAAGCAAGTTCTAGAAAAAGATTTGAATAAAATTCAGCAGATTAATTCACTTTTAAATAAGTTGTGAACATGTAAAACGAAAAACTCTTTTGATTTCCGTTTCATTTTTTTTTGATAAAACTCAATCTCTTTAACAAATTAACTGGGTAAAACTTCAAATTAATTGTAAATCATAATTCTAAATACATTTGTACGCACACACATATATATACATCATAACAAAGTCTCTTGTGTTCATTGTAGATTCAAGACTTTATTCATAGTACTTCGATCCGGCTTCATCGTCACCGCCTAACCCATCATCACTAAAGTCTTTTTCACCATTGTCAAAGTATTGTTGACAATAATCATTATCAAATTCATCTTCATCTAACTCTTCAATATCACCATCGGGATTAACATCATCATTCCATCGTGCATCTTCAGAGTCTGCATCTTCATTATCACTAATAGCTAGTTCAATTTTCTCTGCATCATCTGTGAATAGAAGAAGCAACAATATATAGGAAATACATAGCAAGGTATTGTGGAACAGGTTAATCGGCTTATTTCTAGTTATAAACAACAGATATAGAATTCATGAACTAATTAGCGTTGAATGAGAAATGTTCACTGTTAAGACGAAATGAATTCATTCACGAAATTTGGCCAGTTTCGTATTACTTACCAGACAGTAACAAATACTCAGTGAATTCACCAAACCAAATACTTTGGTTTCGATTATATTACTTTCATCGACATACCATTACAGATCTAAGAAATTTTGAATAATTGTGACTATTAGGTACTAAGATTAGGAAGTTAGTTAATTAGAAACTAGTTACTCGGAACAAACTTTCTATGTGCCGGGTATGAAGCACAATTATTGTGGGGGTGAAGGTGAGGTGGGCTGACGATACTATCCATCTACCTAGATTTAAGTAGGCGGAGTGCGCCCTCTACCTGAACTCCATTGGCTGAAAGCCTAGTCCTTAGGTAATTGACCTAAATATTCATCAAAATTAAAAACTGTGAGTTCCACATTCTCTTTTCTGAACTATGTGTTTTGTTTTTATTAATGTCTGGCTAGGGACTATTCATGGATTCTATATCCTACCGCAACACAGTGTTTTTGAAAGCTTATTACCACTTTTTCTTCAAACTTTTCAGAGTTCACATTTACACGAATGCGTTCTATCAAGGCCAATCACAATACAAACGCAACAGGTTGATGTAACAAGAGAAGACGGTTTCTAATTGTATTAGAAGCTTTCAAAATCCGAGAGACTGTTGAAAGCCTAAGCAAATAAATAACGTATCTTTTAGTCTGATATCTGTACACTATAAGATCTTCTTGATTTGCTTTACTAGATCAGTTTCAATGAAAATGTCTAGTTAAGTAAATATATCGTTTGATACAAAGGTCCAGCATGTTGCAACTGACATGCAACTGCATGCTGATTTCAGCTAGGGTACTGTGAGTATCTGGTGAAGTATCAGCAACCTTTTAAACTGATTTTAATGTTGTACTATTAAAAGAATACAGCTTACAGTAGGAAAAAAGTTCAAATCCAGAAAAAATAATAAAAGCATGAAAGGCATGAATTGAATACAAAGAAACACAATAAGAAGGACAGCACAACACGAGGATACGTTCAAATGGTGATTTGAAGAGATAAGGCGCACATAATTTCGCTACACAGCGATACCGAATTCCGAATTCCCTTACCAAGACTCTCGTCTTCTACTGTTACAATCGTACTGAGCTTAGAGTGTCAACACTAGTCACATTTGCTGAATTGAAGTCATCTTTTAATGTACGTACTTGGAAAAATAATTCAGAAAAAAAGAAAAACAAGTATATTAGGACTTTTTATGAATTCTTCTACGATTACAGCATGTCACTAAAAACACGAAGTGGAGTCGATGTAACTTATGGTAACCTAACATTTGTATCTATTATAATATTTTCAACTGAAGCATTTTTCAAATCACAGAATATAGACATTTGATCACAGGGAATAAAAAGACAACGGAAGAGAAGAAAATTTTCTCTTCAACGAAACCACCAACTAGGCTGTACATTCGTGTATTTATAATAAATGGGTAGGAAAGTTCCAGAATAATTTCTGGTCAAGGGTCAGATTAATGGAGTCACAATTAGGAATTAAAATGCCATAACAAATAGGGGGACGAATAAAGCTCAGACAAAATAGCATCATAATTACTGAGGAGATTGACATATTATGCAATTAGGGGTTAGAAATGTTGTAGAAACAACAACAATAGACAGAATGTTTGGATAGAAAAATCTAGTGAGGTCATAACTAATGTGACGAATAATTGTTTAGGCAATCAGGGATTAAATATGTAGAAATAATAAAATAACAAAATAGACAGGAAGTTCGGGCATGAAAATATGGTGGTATAAATAGGGATTGAGAAAAACTTAAAATAACATGAATAAACAGGAAGTTTGGATAAGAAAGTCAATGGGATATTCACTATTAGAAGAATTAACTGTTCATGATGGCCACTGCAGGGACAAGGGTTGAACGTATTTCTTTTGGATACATAGCGTGGGTTTGAGCTTTTGGATGGCTAGTGCCTCCACTATGCCCAGATGTGTTAATTTTAATCCCTTTGGTAGGTTATTATTATTTTGATTGGCGCTGAATGTCCTGAATTGACCAGATGTTCTGTCACTGAACTATATACACATTTTCGTTCTGCTTTTTCTAGCCAGGCTGGATAGTGTTCACGAGCGCGGTTTTCAAGTTGGCGCATGGTGCGGCCGATGTACTCAGCTCCACAAGAGAAAATTAAACTGGTATATGCACGTTGAAGTGGCCCAATGCGACAGCTTGTCTTTCGCGTTCTGGTTGGACAGTTTCTTGCAGGAGAACGTCAGTCGTAGGTTCGCGGCGAAGTTTGTCTTTCTCAGAGATTTGCAGAGGCGTTAACGAAGGATTTCTGCTTCAATGTCACCTTTGAATTCTAGATTAAGCAGAAGTATCTTCTTCGGGACGGATCGAACTTGTTCGAAAGTCTTCTTCGATTTGAGGTTCTTGTCTATGAACCTAGGCGGAAAACTGTTTTCCATCAGGGTTCTTCGGAGATTACTCAGTTCTTCATCAATCACCTCCTCGCCGCAAATCTTCCGAATCCTCACGGAAAGAGCGTGTATCAGGTTCCTCTTTCTGCTTAGGGGCACGAAGCTTTGAAAGTTGATGAATTATCCAGTCCAAGTGGGCTTTTTGTACATGAACCTTTTCAGAGAGTTGTCCGTGTTTCTTGTCAGATGGACGTCGAGGAAGTGAAAAATTCCGTCGGACTCAGCTTCAAGAGTAAAGTCGATGTTTTAGTAGGTAGTGTTGAATGTTTGAATCAAATTTTTAAGGTCCAGGTTTTCATCACAAATGATGAAAATATCATCAATGTATCTCTTGTAGAGATGGAGGTCATCGATAGTTGATGATAAGGGGTTGCTTTCGAGGCCATAAAATAGTCGGCTAGAAGGGGTCTAAGTGGGGCGCCCATTGCTACGCCATCTGTTTGCCTGTAGATTTCTTCGTCGAATCTGAAGTAGACGTTGAAGGTACAACGTAGTAACAGCTCCTTTAGATAATGGATCAGTATGCCGACAACCATGTTGTTACATTGGATGAAGTCACACATAAAACATAGTTTCTGTCAGAGGACAATGGTGAAGAGAGAGACGACGACTAGGGAGACCATCTTTTTATTTGCGAGGTTGACATTTTTAATTGAATCAACGAAATCGAATGTGTCGTGGAGGTTGTATCTCGACAACTTTTCTTTCAGTGGCCCAAGAATTTCTACCAGCCACTTCGCGATTAGGTGATATGTTTTGAATCGGTGAAAGTGAGACATTAGAGAAATTGAATACATACTTATCGGGACAAAACGGGAAAGGTGTTACCTTGGTGATTGATTTTAGGCTTTGGTTAGGTTTCATGATGATATTCCTGTCTATTTTGTTATTTTATTATTTCTACATATTTAATCCCTGATTGCCTAAACAATTATTCGTCACATTACTTACTTACTTTACTTTACTTCGGCTATCTCCTACGGGAGGATGAGCCGGCTTCATGAACGTCTCGAATCATCGCTGCCCAGGCGCGGCAATTTGTAAGAGAGTTCATGAAGTTTCATGGGAATTTGGTACGAGTGATGTCCCCAGCATCGCTCGGCTTTTTGTTTGAGAGTGCAGCTCTAGCCTTTACACAGCCAAGTGTGACCTACAAGGCAGTAGGAGTGGAGTAAGGAGTCCACTATCCATTGGCAGCCGGTGACCGGAGTTCGGTTTATACGCCTTTTTGAATGGGGCCAGACATCCAGGACATCCAACAAGCCCTTTGTCCATACGTCTGCCGGTGAGCTCCAGTGAGCTTTATACGCCAGTCGTTGGAGGTTTGGAATCAGGGTTCGTCACATTAGTTATGACCTCACTAGATTTTTCTATCCAAACATTCTGTCTATTGTTGTTGTTTCTACAACATTTCTAACCCCTAATTGCATAATATGTCAATCTCCTCAGTAATTATGATGCTATTTTGTCTGAGCTTTATTCGTCCCCCTATTTGTTATGGCATTTTAATTCCTAATTGTGACTCCATTAATCTGACCCTTGACCAGAAATTATTCTGGAACTTTCCTACCCATTTATTATAAATACACGAATGTACAGCCTAGTTGGTGGTTTCGTTGAAGAGAAAATTTTCTTCTCTTCCGTTGTCTTTTTATTCCCTATGAAGCATTTAAGTCCAAAAATATTAAAAAGAATAAGATCTTTCATCTCTACAACCCTGACTTTCACTCTGTATGTCACAAGCCCATCTTTACTTTTCTTATGTTTACGAATTATATTTATTTAAACTAACGTCTCAAAAGTGATATGCCTAATATATGAATTGCACATAATAAACAATCCTGTCACTACAGAAAAGCGTAACACTCGTTCTAGAAACTTTTTAAACAAGTGGAATCAGCTAATTCATCTAATTAGAATAAAAACATAACATACCATCATTTTCTTGAAGGGTTTCAGTGACCTGTTGGATAAAATGGTCAGTTATAATCTCATCAATATCAGTAAGATGTCGTTTTGAACGCTTACGACTTGATCTTGATCTTCGTGAAGTATTCTTGCCACCCTTATTTTTTTGTCGGGTCCGAGAAATTAGTTCTTCTGGGTACCTAGAAGCAGGTAAAATAGAAAAACCAACAATACTCGTTAAAAATAAAAACAAATGGAGTGACACCAACTTGACATCTTTTCACACAGATGTAAATATCTCTAAATCTTAAGCTTTTTGACATATATAACTGTAGAACCTGATGGTACAGTTGTCGAAAAGAGTATTCCTTGTTCAGTAACCATTCTTTTGAAAATCTGAATGGGCATTTTTAAACAGTAACAGAAATCACTAGGAGTATGGTCAGATTCACATATAAGTGGAACCTAGTTAGACTAAAACAGCTACTAAAACAAGTTACACCCATTCTTTACAGAAAAGTTACACAAACAGTAAAAAATGTCAAGATATGCACAGTAAGTTGATTCACTACGAAAAATAAAAGTGAATTCAGGTCAGAAGGAAGAGTAAAAATAACAGCACTATCAGGAACACTTGCTTTTGTGAGAACTAACCTGTTTGTCACCAATCCTCCAAGGAGAGCAGAAACCTTGAATAGGATCAAGCTACTGAGGTCGGGGAAGGCAGCAGGGCAAGATGGAACCGCTCACAAAGCACTGAAAGCGGACTCAGAGACTGTGGCAGATGTGTCCACACCATTATTACAGAAGGTGCCGAAGGGGAGATGTCTACCTATTTTGGAAGGAAAGCTACCTTATTAAGCTACCAAAAAGGGCAAATCGGGTCTCTGCAAGTACTGACACGGAATAACTTTCTTGTCCACACCAAGTAAAACACTAAGTCGTGTCATCCTGAAAAGAATGAAAGATGCACTGGATGCAGAACTCCACCAGCCCGGAACCACCTGGATTCAAGAAGGAAAAAACATGTGCGGATCGAATTGGATCTTCACGCTTCATCGCAGAACAAGGTATAGAATCGAGGTCAAATCTCTTTCTAAATACCATCGACTTTAAAAAGGCCTTCGATAGCGTTAACCGAGTAGTTTGGAAACTGCTTCAACAGTACAGTATGCAGTGTCCAAATCTTTGTTAACCTCATTCAAGAGGTGTATGAGAATGCTACGGGTCAGGTGATCCAAAACGGAAAACTCAGCGAAGGATGGCTTTGAAGTGAATACAGGAGTAAGACAAGTCTAGCTGCGTATTGTCACCAATTATATCCTAATTGTGTTGGACCGGACTATGCGTCAGGCTGTGGGGAGTGAGAAGACAGGAATACGCTGGACCACCGATAAGAAGACTTTGGAAGATTTAGATTTTGCGGATGATTTGTGTTTAATGTCACACAAACTTGAAAACCAACAAACTGACAGAAGAAGCAGTCAAGACAGGACTCTGGGTGAACATAAACAAGACGGAGGTAGTGAAGATAACCAACGACCAGCACTAATCACCATCAACGGGAAAGATCTGACAGAGGTTACCTCCTTCACTTCATTTCAACTACAGGCCAGTGGGACGATAAAGATGTTAAAGCCAGTCAGAGCCGGAAAGGGAAGATACACCCTTATCAACTTGAAACAAGTTTGGAAATCTTCTGCACTTAGCCAGCATAAACAACAAGCTTCCGATTTTCAACATAAATTTGAAGTCAGTCAGTCCTTCTATATGGGTCAGTAACTTGGCGCGTCACGAAAAGCATTTCCGACAAGTTGCAGACTTTTAACAACAGCTACCTACTCTGGCTCCATACTGAAGGTCAAATGGCCGACCAGAAAGAATTAGTAACCAGAAACTCTGTCAACAAACCAACCAAGAGCCGGTCGCTCAGCACATATGTCGGAGAAGATGGAGATAGATCGGGTACACCTTGAGGAGGCCGTAGAATGACATCGTGCCCAAGCCTTCGAGTGGAATCCAAATGGGAAGCAATGAGTTGGTCATCGGTGCGAAGGTGACAAGGAGGAGATTGAGTGAGAAGGAGATGAGAGATTGTGGGCAGTCGTGGACGCAGATGAAGAGGACAGCAGAGAATAGAACGAAGTGGAGATGCGTTGTTGAGGCCGTATGTTCTATTCGGAATCTAAAGGGAGTACCGACAAAGGGTAATACACTGTCCGTAGTGAAATCAAATCACGTAGACGAATAACGTTTTAGAATTGGAAAATTAGAGTAACATTTCATTGATGCTAAACTGAAAGGTTACATCACCTAAGCTAAGAGACACTAATGGTTTGAATCTGAATGGGATTTGAATATTTTGCACAACGAAATCAATAACCATGTCTATCTAATTACTTGTTTGATAATCATTACATAAGCAAATTTTGTCCATAAAAAGCTAGAAGGAAAAGTTAGTGGACAGTCGATTTGACTAAATACACTTTGAATAAGAATGGTATGTGAACCAAATTAGTCCTTTATCAGTAACTCAATGGTTCGTGAGGCGTAAGTCCACGAATATTCTACTACTTTCCCATAATGTGCTTAGGAAGTGTGCATTAAACGCTAAAAATAACTAAATAGAGAACCATATGAGGGTGAAAGGCACTGAAACGAGAATTCCAAAAATTCTGAAGATGATAAAAGTTACTGAATAAGTTTGGGGAATTATAACAGGTTTCATTATACGTCATCTAAGTCACGCAACTTTAAATCTCTAATACCACAAGAACTCCATCCAGATAGTCTACAGGCGAAGCTCAATACTAATCACTCTGTGATCGTCTAACAAACATGCTGTTAAAGAGACCCTAAGCTAACAACATAATGAACTGCAACACTTATAACACTGGCGGTAGGATATGCTACACTAATCTATTATTAGTGGTCGGTTCGACGTATTCAATACATACAAGCGGATTATAACAAGCAAGAGGTTCCGATTTACAAATTCGGCGAACGAAGTACAAACGTTAATTAGACCATACGGACAACATGGAGACCTGTCTGTCTGGTTTCAACAGCAGCAGTTTTAGCCGCCACACTTGGCACACAAAGCCAAAAAAGTAAAACGAAACGCAAAACAGAAACAGTAAACAGAGATATGAGGCAAAAAGAATAGTAATATCGAAGAACAATACAACAATACAGTTTTATTGGATATTATAAGTCACAAGGAGTAGATGACTCTGCGCCATCGAGAACGATTTTAAGCCATATCACCGATTGTCTTCAGCCAGTGTTTACCATCCCGAGGACTCCGGACCAGGAAATCTACATCTTCCTACGTGGATTAAACTAATTGTTGTGAATTTCACTGACTGATGCCATGTTTTGCTTTGACCACCACTGGCTCTTTTCCAGCCTGATCCTATGTCAGCTAACACTGCCCATCTAGAACACCATTAAGTTAGAAATAGCGCAATGATAATTCAACTTACAAATATTAGACGGATAATTGACATGTAAGTCGGTTAACTTTGAGTATGTGCATACCGACAATTGTAAAGTGTCAATATCCATTACATGAAAACTGGACTCAAATGGTTAACAAATTCAAATCATAATACTGAAAAGATAAACTGAAATCTAAGAAATGTTTGGGTTGTTTAGCAAATCCTGCCGACCATCAAAAAATAATGAAATAATTCACTATATAGGTGGGAGCATAAGCAGCTTAATGATTTATTTCAAAGAATCCTCATGTGAAATTCTGCTAAACATCCGGCTTCACCAAAATTAACTGAGCTATCAAAATGGCTAACCACGTTTTTCTGCTTAAATATTTTCATGTTCACTGCTACGCACCTCAAGTGTAGTTAATTTCCTCTTACATCAGTAATTATGATAACTTACCAATCATCAGGTTCCTTCATATTCATATCCTCGTCCGACCACTGATTAATTTCATCATGATTAACCAAAAAATGCAACAAAGATACTACATCTGGCAATTTATTGCCCAAGTTTAATTTTTTGCTAGATAATAATGAAGCCGCACTGATTCCTTCCGATAGTTCTGGAACTGAATGATAAAATGGACCTGAACGAAAAGCCGTTTCAAGTTTAGCTGTCAATTCGAACTAAAATAAAAAGGAAGCAAATGCAAATAAAAACAATATATAAGTATCATTATTTGGAAAGTAAGCAATACCTTGCCACATTTGTGAATATAAATCCTATCGCAAATACCAGGAGAGATTTTGACGACTTAAAATTTGTGAACAGATTTCGTAAAAGTAACTAAAACAGAAAAATCGAGTCGTTCTGCCGTAATAAGTTTATATTAATATTCCGATTGATGTCATTTTGGAGATTCAGCTAAACGTAGAACCTGAACTCATGGTAGGAACTGACGTCTCGGTTGAAGAAATACTACTAAGTGTTCAATAATTTCTGATCCTCAACTAGAAAAACAAACAGGCAAATGCGGTGACAATGCGGTCAACAATATTACCAGTGGTAGCAGACATTGACACGTCTGTCTGTCTGGATTCAACATAGAACTTGGCACCGAAGTGCAGCAGTTCGAGTTGCCACCTTCCAAATAGCACACAGAGGTAGACAAGAAGATGAGTGAAGAGAATTAATAGAGTTTGACAAATATAAGAGTGAAACAGAATGGGTAATGGTAGAAAGGAATATGAAAGATTACAGAGATTGAATACATTGACAACGATTTTGAGCCATGTCACCTATTGTCTCCAGCCATTGATTCCTAGAGTCCCGAGGGCCCCAACCCGGGAGTCTGCATCTCCCTACCTGACTCAGTTTAACTGTCAAGGATTTCATGGATTGATGCCATGTTTTTGTTTGGCCACCACTGGCTCTTTTCCAACCTGAACCTATATCAGCTAACAATGCCCGTCGGGGGAGGCGGTGGTTAGGCATGCGCACCACGTGACCTAGCCATCTTAGTCTATGTAACTTTATAACCTCGTCGATTGATTTTCCCTCTTTGCCCAACACTCTACGCCTAACGTCAACATTACTTATCTTGTGAAACCACCTAACGTGAGACAGAGATCGCAGACATCTATGATCGAAAGCAGTCAACCTTTTCATGTCTTCAACGCGAATTGGCCATGTTTCAGAGCCATAGACAAGGACGGAGCGAACTGCTGAGCAGTACACACGTCCCTTGGTTGATAACCGGATGTCACGCCTACGCCAGAGATGGTGTAAGTCAGCGAAAGCAGCTCGAGCTTTTCGGATCCGTGCTGAGATTTCATCGCCAATCAGTCCGTTGGTGCTAATACAACTTCCCAAGTAGGTGAAGTGGTCAACATGTTCTATCACTTCACTCCCTATCACTAAGTTAGGGGTTGACGTCGTCCAGTCCTGTAGCAGCATCTTACATTTTGCAGGGGCGAATCGCATGACACGTAGTTAGGAACGTAATCCCGTCAGAACGCTTAATCCTGCTCCTAGGTTCTAGTTGAGATATGTGGATAACACATTCACTGTAGTAAAATCTGGACAATTTCTTAAGCTATCCACACATAATTTCAGTAGGAGATGAAACCCAGTTCACTTCCGAGTTTGAAAATGAATGGCGCAAGTTAACTATGCTAGACTGCAAAAGAAAATGAAAAAGGGTTAGATACCAGCATCTACAGGAAACCGTCAGATTCTTACAAGTAGTCAGACCTTGAATCATTTGGACTTGAACCGGTTAAAGTAAATTCAGTTAAATATTTACTTAGTTGAGCCAGGAATCTAAACAAATGAAATCAAGCAAATAAGGGAAATAGAACCACTGGATAACCCAGTAGATTTCTCCAAAAATGTATGAAGGACTCATAAGAAAAATAAGAGTAGTTACAACAACAATGAAAGTAATATAAAAAATAAGGAATTCAAATCCTGGAAAGTATTACCATATAGAAAAGGAACATCAGAGGCCCTAAGTGGAAGTCTTAATAGGGCTGGAATTAGTGCGTCATATAAACCAACCAACTCATTCAGACATTTCTCAGCTTGTCAGACTCAAGTTGGAAAAACTACATAAATCACACTACAAGATTGAAGTCAATCAGATCAACGGAACATTGGAATTTGACAACAGCTAAAACGATTGTCCATGATAACTTAAGTAATCTGGAAAAGAACTTATCTATCTCAGTGCATTTACTTGCGTGTATTTGCACAATAAGATGGGATAGGATCAAAGAATTAAAAAGTAGTGCATTTAGGTAAGCGGATAAGTTAATCACTGAATTTCTGTTCATCGAATCAACAAAAAATGTGTGCAGACAGAATGATGCGACACCTATTCCAGATGTATGGAGGGTTGCCCTACAAACAAGTGAGGCTATTAAAAGCAAGTTATTAAGTCGTGTGAACAAACTAAGCGATGAATTGTGCTTGAAACATCATCCAGTATCTAATGCTGTATTATATATATGGAATGCTACACCTCTTTTTCCTTGTTCTGATTACGATATGCAATAACGAACGCCCAATTCGATTGATACACCTACCTATTTCCATTTTACCATTCGTCTTTTTGCTCTACAATTATGCTCTCTACAAAGCGTAGCAACTTCAACTGCTGCAGCTTGTCGTCAAGTTCGACATTGAAATCTTAATCACTGTCTTAATTCTCTTTCCTCTATTGCTTAAACTCTTGGACACCCTACCTATCCATGCCCAAGCTGTTCACCATTTGTATTTATATGAATGATAACGAAATCACACTTCTGTCACAGAGAATAGAGTTTTACAACTGCTTATTTCGGATGCTTACATAAGTTCATACAAGAACTGATGGAAGACTGGGTCTGATAAGGTAGTATTATGAACGTACTGTGAGAACGTAAAACCTTGCTTAACTGATTAAAAATCAAATATCAATTCACAAGTTTTAAGCAGTTTGACTGATCTTGTAGAATACCTTCTCGTAACTATGATCAATTATTATTGTTCGCTTGGGTTCCGAGTGGAACACAGGGCGTCAACAGCATATCTCCACCTCGTTCTATTATCTACGGACCTATTTAGCTAGCCCCACTATTGCCTATAGGCTTTCATCTGGTTCTCGCATCATCTCCTCTATATCACCCTCGGGCATCCCACTCGTCCCCATTCGGGTTACACTCGACGGCCTAGCATGCGATGTCATTCAACAGTCCCCTCAGTGTGTCTGACTTATCTCCATATTATGCTCAGACTTTATACTAATAGTTTCCCACGAGGAAAGCTGTTGGATTTACTCTAGTGGTCTGCAAACTGGTTATGGTATTTATTTGAAGTGGATCAAACACTACTTTCACTTTTCAGATGCCTCTAATGACCTTCACCAGACTACAATTTCCCTTATTATAGCACATTTTACTCACTACACCTTCGCACATCCCGAATTGTGATGTGGCCATTTTTTAAAATACGAACTCTGATTAGTCATATATTGTTTACCTGCCTAGTCTACAAAAAGGTAACGTGTAAAAAAATAAACCTCAGTAGGCATATTGGTTATGTATGAACAAAAATGAATGTAATTACAATTAGTTTGAATGTAGTGAGAGAATAAGTAAACTGCAGGACAATATAGCTGATTAACACATACCAAATTTATTTGGAGACCATCGCGGTCAGTTTTTCCAACATCTGAGTTGTCATCCGCACTGCAGCCACTCAATGAAGAGTGTATAACAACTTTAGGAAATGTAAACGGTATTAGACGGCTAACTTCGAACTTGGGATCAGGCTTAGTAGGGACGGAATGAGGATCGAAAAGGCGTCGTTTTACACCATCACGCAGACCTGACAAACTTGGACCACCACCACGCCGTCTACCTCGATTCATGCTGAAAAATATATGCAATTAATTGTCTGCTTTATAAGCTATAAAGTAAGAACCAATAGATACTGTAAAAATTATTATTTACAAAGTTGGATACAGAAAATCTGAATTTCAGTTATGTTCATCAGAGACTTTTTTTACCAGTGACTCAGTACGTGCAGCTCGTTCTTTACGCAATTCCTTGCGTCTACGTTTCTTTTCTAATCTTGCTTGATGGATTTGTATGAGGTCCGAATCTTCATCCGTGGCACTTAACGTGAGCTTCGGATTGTCTGAAAGTTTGCAGAAACGTTGATCATTGGAAGCTTCATTAAATTCTGCAATAATGTTTTCGGAACGCGATATAGTTTTGGGCTGAGAGTCAGAAGATTTAGGTTTGGTTACATGAGCGGCAGGCTGTTGGGAAATACCTAAATAATCTTGTATTTTATTATAAAGACGTGCGGAAATGAAGTATCCATGCATATAGGCTCTTAAAAATTGTGTTCCAATAAGGTCTGACATCCCCAAATCAGCAAGTTGTTGACGAGTTATAAATTTGTATCCATCATACATAGTTGTTACATCTGGCTCGCACTCCACAACGAGACTATCTAGATAACTACACCAAAAAGGAGCTTCTCCAAGCAGTGGAACAAAATAAGTTGAAATCTTGGGGGACTCTGAAGCGACCATGAGCAGCCCACTATTCGGGAAATGATACATAGAATTGCACTCCGCTGGACCAATATTGAATCCAACAAATATTTTGCCAGTATCGACCGTCCAGATCTTACAGCAGTAACGCAAAGCCGCAAGCACTTTGTCATCATGAAAACTGATGGATTTAACCGGTTCTCTATACTCAGTGTCACGGCAATGCCAAGGTTTACGGTTCTGTCGAAGATCGTAGATGTAAACCATCCCGTCACTGGTACCCACTGCTATATTCAGTGGGTCCTTTTGCGTAATGCAGGTGACTGCGGCTGATCGTCGGCTATATTGAACCTCTTCCGGGGGTGGGGCGTACTCGCATACATTTAAGCCAAATACATGTTCAGAAGTTCTCGTATCCCACCCGTCAACACAGCCAAGTGTTGACGCACCGAGAAGAAGGCCATAACTTTTCTCGAAGATGCACGATGTAAATCCATGATTCGTATTTTCCAAGCGACGTGATACTAAACAGGTTTTGAAGCGACCTTCGGACAAATCCATCCGATATATGTGATTGCGTGATGAGGCAATATAGAGGTCACATGTAAAAGAACAGTAGTCTAAATCCACACCCTGTTTAGGAATTCGAAACTTAAAATGGTGGCCTCCAGCAGCATGTACATCAACCCATCTTTCTTCTTCTAATAATGCAAACTTAGAGTAATTGTCGCTGAGACATACAATTTTGTATGGTAAATAGTCAAGACACCGATCAAATTTTAGTGAGAGGTTTGACAACTCGTAACACTTAACTCGGGGTTTGTAGCGTCCTAAAGCAAATAAGTAGTGACCGTCTGGAGAACAAGATAAATAAGTAGTTGAATCTGGCATTTCCAATTCCTGAATTAATTCAATACGCCGGCTTAAATCCCCATCAGCCTTTCTTTTCCTTTTTTCTGATTTGGATGCCCATTCAGGAAGTGAACGATTGGCTGTTAGATTATAAACTTTTACACCATTTATCTTAACTACGTTCATATCCTCGTTGTAAAAACAAGTAGCGACATATATCAACTACCCGCCAAGCTACTCCAATATCCAATATTATTTCTTCAAGGTCATACAAAAGTGAAGAGTCTATTTCTGCCCCGTGAAAAACTAATTATCCACCTGGTTACCTCACGTAAGTACAGATAGTGGTTGTTCCGAGCCTAGGTAGAATAAATCACTCACTTTTAATCTCCAGAGGTACTCATGTTCAATTATTGAGAAGAACAGTGTCCTTTATACGTTCCAGCGTAAATTACACCAGTCTATTTGGGCTAGCTTCTTGCTGTTAAGGCAAAGGCTGCCTTTCTGACTTCATGACAGAATACACTTACGATTAAATCTCGTCACTTATAATCTCATAGACAGTAACTAGGTCATCCCTAGGTCGAGAGTGTGAGGACACCTTGCTTCCACAGCTTGTCATCCTTTTGGTCTGTTTCGAAGACCCATCCTCTTTTTCCGCCCATCTTTGAACTTTTTCCAAGAGGTTGCTTCCCTCTTAAGTAACGGAGAAGTGATAACGCTGTGCACAACAAGATGCGGTGTATGTACAGTCTTAAAAAAGGTCAGCATTGAGACCACCTAGATGTCTATGAGTTTTGTATGCAACCGCACAAGCCCTATCTATATCAGCCATACAATTCACAATTGTATCCAGAGTTCCATTAGAACGAGACCTATGTTGAGATTTTATGCAGCACACCACAACTTCTCGTCATGCAGGGAATAAGTTACTCCGCGAGGCATTTGGGTCTGTAGCTGCCGCACCCCACTTTTATGGATTTAGGGACATGCCACTAACCCATGCTTAGCCTCCTAGAATTTTTCGTTCTATCAACAGCCTGTCTGAGACCTCTGAACAGCTTATGGCCCTTATAATCGTCAACGCAAGCAAGACCTAGTTAGTTTAGATTGCTTGGTAGGTCATTGAGAATCAAGAACAATAAGGTACCCAAGATAAAATTTTGTGGAACTTTCAAAACGGCGCCTATCAGAATGATCATATGCGACTGACTTTGAATTCTCTTCCGTCTAGGTAGTCCTCTAACATTAAGTGAGGCAAGCTGTAGATATCGTTCTGAACAGTTTTGAATGCCTCAGCGAAATCAGAGATTACATTCACCGAAACATTCACACCCAAGTGGGATGTTCACTCATTCCTCACTGATAAGAGATTCGTTGCAAAGGATCCACCCCTTTTGAAGGCATTTTGTGCTTGATAAAGTGTTTTGTTGCTCTCAGTGTGTTGCCTTATGTGGTTATTAATCAGGATTTCCAGTACTTTCTGCGCCGCAGGGATTAGTTTTGTTGATATATAGCTCATTACGTTCATCCGACTGCCACCACTGAATATACAGGAGAAAAGCTCAACTTCCTACACTCTGACAGTTTCTCTCAATCGACGGAGTGCTGGAACAGGTCCCATAAAGACTTGCAGAGAGCTTCTCCTCACCACTACAGAGCAATGTTCGATTGTCATCACACCTGGAGAATTTCTCGAGGTGAGTTTTCACAGAGTCCTCGGGACCACTGTAGGAATAATGTGGAGTATACCCTCCGATTTTCCCTGAGCAATTCTGTGATGCAACTCCTGTGGTCTGTAATAGTAAAACCCATAGTGTTGTTAGTTTGTTTATGAAAGGTGGCACTGAATGCCATGGCTATTTCTGGACAGGTGAGAGAGTGACCTTTTCAAATTTCTGAGGTATGTGCACCCTAGTTAGTAGATTTATTTTCCGAAATGAACCACTAAAACTCTTATGGGTTCGGCCAGCGTTTTCTGGCAAGATCTGCCAGAAGTGCCATCATGTCACTCTGGACACTTCTGTCACACCGCTTACTGAGTTTTCAGTTTGTCTCATTGTCAGCTGGACTTCTGTAGAGTCGCTATGTAAAATAAGGCTTTTACCTTGTTTTATCAAGTAAAGTACGTGCAGCTTTTCTTCAGGACGTAGTGTGCCTAGAGGGAAGGCACTTGAAATTTTTTGCGAATAACATGCAATTCCCTAAATTGTCTCAGTTAATTGTTCAAACAAGTGATTGATTTATTGCAGTTCAGACACAAATCTTCGCATTTTGGTACGGTCAGCTTTCTTATATCAGCGACAGGGTTGAGTAGCATCTCACCTGAACATCACTTAAAGAACGAGATGAAGCCCAGTGCCAGCCTTGTCAGGCGCCTTGTTGCAAGCGATTTCTGCTGGTAACTAGACAGTGGTTAATAAGAGATCCACTTTTGACAAATTACCACCAGGGCCTCATCTAGTGCTGTGTGAAATAGCCTCACTCAGTCCAGCGTTTCCGACAGTGAGCAGATTTCAATCAAATCATCCGTGAGAACACTCCAACTGTCAAATGTCGAGGTCTAACTAAACTGGACTTCACACTGTCCGTAGAAGAATTTCAGGAACTGTGCGCAACGACCAAGGCCCACAAACAGAACACAAATCGGTGACGCAAGTACCATTTATTCTTACGCCAATACAGAGCCAATCATAAGGTTATTGTACACAAAGTCTAAGAATAAATGTTACAACAATAAATCACAATAATACCTCTGATACTTTTCTGTCTTCCACCGAATACCGAACGATGAGACAATGACTGCAGTATCAATGACTACCGCAAAAAATTCGGAGTTGGTTTGAGCAAACAACCATGAATCTATCGTTCAATCTTCAACCACATTGACAACCGCCGACTACCCACAATTTATCAAGGAGTGTGAGGTCATGCTGAGTGGTTTTGTTTTAAATGAGGAAATGACGTTAATCTATTTGCACTGGTGTTGCTGCAAGAGCCATGTAGTGCTGCAAGTTTATGTTCTAGAACTAATGATAAACAGGGGCTATGAGGATACTACGTCAAAGGTTTCGAAAATCATTTATGATATCCCGTAGTGTTTTTGAGACCATGAAAGGTAATGGATCACAGTTAAACGATAATTCATAGGAGCTCGCAGGGTTCTTGGACAGTTTAATGGTATATAGAAATACCCTTGTATCTCTTAATTGCGTAGATGAATTGCATTCAAGTTCCGCGCTTGAGACGGGTTCGTCTACAAAGAAAGTTCATAGAGGTCTGTTCACATCTAGAGCTGGGGTTTAGAGCCTGGGTTGGATGATATTGTGAGCCTGGTGAAAGACAGTGACAACGGAGATATGAGCAAGTTTGCATCCGTTATCCTATACCCCATCTCCACGACTTCTCCTTGACCTTACATGGAAAGACCATTTTCACTGAAGTTGACATGGTCAGGGCATATCATCAAATACCAGTCGCTCCAGAAGACATTGCAAAAACAGCAATTATTACGC